GGATCACCTGAGGTCAGGAGTTTGAGATGAGCCTGGCCAACATAGTGAAACCCTGTCTCTACTAAAAATACAAAAATTAGCCAGGCATGGTGGCACACACCTGTAACTCCAGCTACTCAGGAGGCTGAGATAGGAAAATTGCTTGAACCCTGGAGGCAGAGGTTGCAGTGAGCCCAGATCGCACCATTGCACTTCAGCGTGGGCAGCAAGAGTGAAACTCCATCTCAAAACAAAAACCAAAAACAAAAAACAAAAAAAAAAACCCAACAACTCAGAGCTATACATACCCCTCCTTTAAAAAGTCAATTTTACTGTTAATTTTTAAAATTAAAAAAATCAATTAGGAAAAGGCCAAATCAATTAAGTGGACACAAGTAAACAGGATATTTCCAGAAGAAACAAACAAAACCTGTAACAATACTCAACTGTCCTAGTAATCAGGAAATGCAATTACTATTAACAATAAGAAATTATTTCAGACCCAAGCATTAACAACAGCAAGTCTTGGAAAGATGTAGCTTAACAGGACTTTCACACATTGCTCGTAGAAGCACAACTGGTCAATGTCTTTGGAGTGGAATTTAAGGAGATGAAGCTGAAAATGGGCCTGCTCTTCACCCCAGCAATGCACCTCTAAAACTTCTCTTAGAAGGCCGGACATCGTGGCTCACACTTGTCATCCCAGAGCTTTGGGAGGCCAAGGCAGGAGGATACCTTGATACCAGCCTGGGCAACATGATAAGACCCCAACTCTACAAAAAATATTAATTAAAAAAATTGTGCAGAAGTGGTGATGTGTCCCTGTAGTCCCACCTACTTGGGAGCTTGAGGCAGGTGGCTCTCTTGAGCCCAAAAGTTTGAGGCTTCAGTGAGCTACGATCGTGACACTGGACTCCAACCTGGGCAGCAGAGTGAGACCGTGTCTCAAAAAAAAAAAAAAAAAAAAAAAAAATTCTCCTAGGAGCATAAAAAAGGATGCGCTCAAGAAAGTTCATTGCAGTATTGTCTGCAATTGCAAAATATTTTCAAAAGCTAGGAAATTCAAATGGTATATTTTTCATAGAATGGAATACTATGTAGTAGTTTTTAATTACACAATATTTTATGATATGATATTTTATTTTCTTTATTTTTGAGACAACCTCACTCTGTCACCCAGGCTAGAGTGCAGTGCCACAATCTCAGCCCACTGCAACCTCCACCTCCTGGGTTCAAGTGATTCTCACCCACCCAAGTAGCTGGCACAGTGGCTCACGCCTGTAATCCCAACACTTTGGGAGGCTGAGGTGGGGGGATCACTTGAGGTCAGGCGTTCGAGACCAGCCTGGTCAATATGGTGGAACCCCTTCTCTTAAAAAAAAAAAAAAAAAAAAAAAAGAATTATGTGGAATTAACAAAGATAAAATCTCAAAAATGTAATGTGGAATGTAAAAGCAAGCTGTAAAAATGACACTAGTTACGCCAGTTTGAAAACATGCAAAACAGTGTTATATATTGTTAGACATCTACATATGCTTTAATAGTATAAATACATGCCTGGAAAACAGAAACAGGAATTCAAGATAGTTGTCTCGGGGTACAATACACACGGGAATTTCCATTGTGTCTGTAACTTCTTTTCTTTTTAAGGAAAATGGGCTGAGCATGGTGCCTCACACATGTAATCCCAGCACTTTGGGAGGCTGAGGCAGGCAGATAACCTGAGGCAGGTGGATCACCTGAGGTCAGGAGTTTGAGACCAGCCTGGCCAACATAGTGAAACCCCATCTCTACTAAAAATACAAAATTAGCCAGGCATGGTGGCGACCACCTGTAAACCCAGCTACTTGGGAGGCTGAGGCGAAAGAATCACTTGAACCGTGGAGGCAGAGGTTGCAGTGAGCCGAGATCATGCCATTGCACCCCAGCCTGGGCAACAAGAGTAAAACTCCATCTCAAAAAAAAGAAAAAAGAAAAGAAAAATGAAGTAAGCAAGGCAAAATATTGGAATTTAGTGATGATTCATGGACCTTCATTATGTTATTCTTTGCATTTTTCTTGTTATTTTAAATATCTCATAGTCAAAACAATAATTGCCTCTGTATACAAAAATATATCATAGTGGTTAAGAGCACTAACCATGAGCTCTGGAGCTGGAAAGCCTGGGTTTTTCTCCCATTTCTACCACTCACTGTCTGCTGGGCTTTAGCAAATTAACTACCTAACTTCTATGAGCCTGTTTGCTATTCTGTAGAATAAGGGTAGCAATAGCACTTTCCTTATATTTTTGTGAAGACTATATGAGTTAAAATACAAGTTGCTTAGTATTATATAACGCTGGACACATAGCAAATACAAGTGTTAGGAATTTTTAATTGTTTTTTCTTTTCTTTCTTTCTTTTCTTTTCTTTTTTTTAGATACAGGGTCTCCCTCTGTCACCCAGGCTGAAGTGCAGTGGCACGATCATAGCTCACTGCAGCCTTGACCTCCTGGGCTCAAGCCATCCTCCCAGCTAGCTTCTGAGTAGCTGGGACTACAGGAGCCCACCACCACACCCAGCTAATTTTTAAATTTTTGTAGAAAGGAGGCTCACTATGTTGCCCACGCTGGTCTGAAATTCTGGCCTCAAGCAATCTTCACACCTCAGCCTCCCACAGTGCTAGGATTACAGGCATGAGCTATTGCACCCAACCCTTTTAAAAATTGTTATTAATTCTCATCCTTGGAAACTCCATTGGCAACACTGTGGTGCCTTCTCCAACACTGTCACCATATCTAATTGATTTAATTGGGCACTCCATCTGGACTTTTTACCTTGCTTAAGTGAGTAGCTTAACTATTTATCAGCCTTGATTTTTTTTTTTTTTTTTTTTTTAATTTTTTGTTTTTTAATATATGGAGTCTCTATCTGGAGCCCAGGCTGGAGTGCCACGGCGCTATCTTGGCTCACCAAAACCTTCACCTCCCAGGTTCAAGCAATTCTCCTACCTCAGCCTCCCGAGTAGCTGGGATTACAGGCACCCATCACTACGCCCAGCTAATTTTTTTGTATTTTTAGTAGAGACGGGGGTTTCACCATGTTGGTCAGGTTGGTCTCAAACTCCTGACCTCAGGTAATCCAACCCCTAGGTCTCCCAAAGTGCTGGGATTACAGGCGTGAGCCACTGCACCCGGCGCTTAACTATCCTATTTTCTTTTTTACCTTTATATTCCAAATGTCTGGCAATGGTAGGAATATGAGTCATTATTAACAAACAAGTGAAGAGATGACAATCCCCCTTTTTTATATATATAGAGAGAGATACAGGGTTTCATCAGGCTGGTCTCAAACTCCTGACCTCATTCCTCCGCCTCCCAAAGTGCTGGGATAACCGGCATGAGCCACCTTGTCCTGCCGACTATCCCTTCTTTCCCCCAATAAACTTACCTGTGTTCTTACTCCCCTTCCCCCCTCCTCTTCCCAAGTCCCCAGTGCTCTAACAGACTGGCTTAAGTACCTCTAGTCATGGAAGATATGCTTAACAACACTCTTCTTGTATAATAAAAGAAACCCATCTGTAGAAATCAAACTTGAAACAAAAGAAAGAGTCTCTAAGGGTGGAATCTTATATCCTAAGGCACCCACCCTGCCCTGCCCGGAATCTATTATCTCTCTCTGCTTAATGAGGGACCATCTCAACAAGTGAAAACACTGAAAGATAACGTGGGAACAGAGCTCTCAGGGAAAATGCCATGAGTGTTCTCTTGAAAAGCTGTGTGTAAGCCACATTTTTAAAAACACAAATCATATTGTGAATGAGTAAAAGAATGTTTTTTATTTACTGGAGAAGCTGGCTTGTTAAATCCTATTGTGAATTCTTTCTTAAAACCAACGTAAGGAATTCCTTTGTTAAGTAAATATTCAAGCCCTTCCCTGCCAAAGAGCTTTTGAAATCTTTGCTGTAATGATGCTGATGTTTTCTGTTTATATGTCAAATGCCTGGAGCTTAATTGTTAATGGGTAAATAAGAGACGCCGCTAGGTCCTTGCCAAGAGAGGCCCAATAGCTGAGCTTGGGAGAACAATGGCTCATCCGGACTTCCCCAGGGAGGGGAGGGGGGAGAGTACGGTTAGGAAAGAGTGGCTCCATTCTCTTGTAGACTCTTGAAGGAGTCAAGGAAGAGACCAACCTGGGGGATGAGAACGCACATGCACGTCCTGAGTGGAGCTGAGCCTGAACAAAGGCGTTGGGCAGAGTTCTGGCCTTGCTTCATTTCTCCTTGCCAGTAGATCAGGAATTCCTGCTGCTCTCAAGAAAACCATCAGAAGCATATGGTGCTATTGGAATCACCACCCACCAGTGGGCAGAGGAAAGCTGGGGTCACAGGCTAATTTCCCCAGGCAGGGCCTGGGTTGAATTCTATGCCCGTCATTGTAGGCTAATCTGCCCCGAGTCCTGCAAAGCAAAATGGGGATGAGCTTGCCTACTCGGTAAGGGTTTTGTGAAAATTAATTCGTATTGTAGAAAAATGCTTAGAACCGTGTCTGATGCATAGTACATGCTATGTATGTTAAATATTTAACTGAGGGTTAAGGGCAGGCACATGGCAAAGTAGCCTTAAATCCAAAAGCAGCAGACCAATTGTAAAGAAAGAACTAACTGGAAATTTTTGTAAGTCTGTTTGCTGAGGAAGCCTTTTCCAGGTTTTCCCGGGTTCAAACGATTTTCCTGCCTCAGCCTCCTGAGTAGCTGGGATTACAGGCACAAGCCACCACACCCAGCTAATTTGTATATTTTTAGTAGAGATGGGGTTTCACCACGTGGTCTGGAACTCCTGACCTCAGGTGATCCACCCACCTCGGCCACTCAAAGTGCTGGGATTACAGGTGTGAGCCACAGTGCCTGGCGCCTTTTCCAGATTTGAAGTTGCAGGGAGAGCTGAGGATACTCACAGAGCAAGGACTTGAGGCAAAGAGACAAAGACTCAGGTCTGCTAAAGCAAGGTCATTCCTCTGGATTCTAGTCCTTCAGATGGCTAGAATGAGGTCAAAGGTAAAGCTGTCACCCAAGTCGGAGGAGACAAATGCTCTCAAGGATTGCCAGACTCTAAAAGTTTCAGAGTTGAAAAGGGCATATAATCAAGCTATAAGCAGCCAGCCAGAAGTTCACAGTGTCCATGTTTCTAGGCACAGGGTGTCTCAGTTCTTGGCATTGCTGGGCCAGCGTCTATACTTAGGGAAAATCCACATGGAAAGCCCCCTCCTTCTCTCTCCAGGAAAACACTCAGCTCAATGCCATCTGGGTCCAGAGCAGGGGACTAGCAAGTACTTGTCAGAGCCTCTTTGGTGCGGGAGTCAAGGAGGCCCTGTACCAGCTGTGGGGCTCCAGCAGGGACGTTACCCCACGTTCAGGAGAGGAATCTGCTGGTCTCCCTCAAAGACCCTCAGGCCCCACCGTGGGCAGCACATCCACCATCTCCTCGCTGCTGTTCAAATTCTCACTTTTATTTGTGTGTCACTTTTAATTTGTCAAAGCACTATCATGTCTACTAGCTTCCACGCCACCACATCTTCAGAGGACACAGAAAGGTGCTATTAGAACATCTGACAGCCAAGGAAGCAGATACTCAAATGGTTCATGGCGCACCCAGGACCACAGAGCTACTAGCAGAGACCACCCATGCCTCTGCCCCTGGCCTGTGCTCTTCACAGCACACTCTGCCACACTCCCTCTCCCGTGTGAAGGCTCCCCCAGGGAAAGAGGAAAAACAAGAGTTATTCTAGGCAAAGTAACCTTAAATCCGACAGCAGCAGATCAATTATAAGGAAGTGCAGCTCCAGGACTGCTCCCCTATCTTCCCATCAGACCTCAGCCCGCAGCTGTGGACACGGGCCTCTATCTCCTCCGCACTGCTTTCCCCACCCTGGTTCCCACTCTGGAATAGGTCCCCCCAAGAGCCAAGGCCCACAGCCCATTATGGCTAGGACGTGCAGTATCTTTATTCTCTGCTTCTCTAGAAACAGCTGGTTCTGCTCAACTCACAGAGATGATTTTCCAAGAACCCCAACACTTCCATCTGCCTGGGCTGCCAGAAAGAGAAAGGGCATCCTCAAAGACACTGAAGACCACCCTCCAGGAGCCGCCTGCCCTGTCTACCATGTGACTGGCTCTGGGTGCCACTTGTCTTGCGAAAGGGGCTGGCTCACATGGCAAAGATATTCCAGATCTTCCTGAAGAAGACAGAAAGAGATGCTCAGGTTGGGGAGGGAATGAGATCCCCTAGGGAAGGGACTACTCCCAGCTGAGGAGTTGATTAGAAGCAACCTTGGAGTTGGCAGGAGCCCCAGAGATTGTCTGAGTTAGTCCAAGAAACAGGCTAAAGGAGCTTGGGAGCAAGAGACTAAAACCAGCCAAGTTTGGGACAAAAGGGAAGGAAAGGGTTGAGCAGTGAACAGAAAGACAAAGAACAGGCAGTTCCAAAGAGCCAAGAATGCAAATCATTTGCAGACGCAGCCAGCGAGAGCCTCCACCGAGGCTGCTGTGGGGGTGCCTGACGCTGTGGGCACAGCCACTTCTACACGTCACGGTGAGCGTGAGTCCATGTGTGTGAGGTCCCCACTGAGTCATCCCGAGTGTGTAATGATTGTATCAGTTGTGAGTCACCAACTGTGTGTCAATCGGGCGGGGTGTGTGTGTGCTCAGTGCACAAGCGTGTGAGGGCTGCCTGTACCCAGAGTGACAGTGGAATGTGAATGAGAGCCAGAGAGCTTGGGGAGTTCAGAGCACTCCCAGGGGGAAGCTGTGTTTAAAGGGCACCACGCTTCATTCACACCATGCATCACACACCACATTTCTGAACACGTTCCAGAGAAAGCCATCTGTGCCCGCTTCCTGCTGAAACCCCCTACGGAGCAGCAGCGCTGAATTCCTCAGGCTCACGGGGTTGTTCTCAGAGTCAGAGATGGCCACAATCTTACAATCCTTCCTGCATTTCAAGCCCTTCGTCTTGCAGAGGGAGGAACTATGGCAGAGAAAGCTGACACAATGGTCCCAGAGTCACAGAGCGACTGGTAGAAAAGCCAGGTGTGGACCCAGGTATCTGTCGGAATTCCCTGCCCAGGACTCAGTGTGTCAGCACAGAGTGGGTCCTTTTTCCTTTTCTCAGCAGGGATGTGATGACATCACTTCTTTTAACTAAAACGCACCCAGATCCTCCCATAAAATGAAACCCTGACTTCACGTCCTAAAGGCTAGATTTGATGAATAGCCCAAAAGGAAAAGTTGGGGCATCTCTGGCCAGACGGTTCTAGACCAAGAGTCATTTGACCTACTTTCCTAGAGCCTTGCCCCACCCAGTTCAGGACAAGTCCACAAGGAGACCTATTCTTAGGTCTCTAGGTCCAAAACTGGCCAGGTGCTTTGGCAGCCTTGAAGCTGTGTGATTCGGAAGCTGCTTCTGAGAGGTTTGCGGATGTCTCACGCAGGACTCCTGATTGGTTCTCCTGCCACCTTCCTGATGGCCATTTCACGGCTCAATTTCATGTGCCCCACAACAATGAAAAAATAAATGAAAGGAGGTAATTTATTTGAGCAGTTCTATAATTGAGTATCTCAAAGGGTTTAATAGGTAAAGAGCCTAACCCTATTAACTAGTAAGTTGAGGTTTGGGGATTATCAATGAATTTCAATTACCCATTCCATTCATTCTTCTCAGATGGCTCAGAGTTGACCTGAACTTCAAAGGGATCCCTTCAACCACCGGATTTATTGTTCTTATTTCATATTAATTAAGTAGTTACTATATACACAGCACTGTTGTGGCCATTGAGTAGGCACAGATACTTCCCTTCATCCCTGGAGAGCAGAGATTTATTATCTCATTTATGGGAACTTCAAAGCCCTTTCGCTCCAATTACAGCTTGTCACTGACCATGGAGGCAGCTGAGATGCTCAGGGCACATGAGGCAGGGAGGGGGGGGGCAGAGAAATCACTGATCCGGGCTAGATCTGGAGTGAGGCTGGTCTTACACTTGGGCCCAGGTTCTATGTTTATAAAGTAGTGTTTTTCCCAACAAGGCTCTGCTAAGAATATGCCATGGGAAAGGGAGTTGAAAGGATGCCTTCTTATGTGGCAGACTGACTGACAGAGTAAGGGTTGATGTAGTAAGTGTCCTTCATATGTGACACATGGGCAAGAGAGTAGAATAACCAAATGTTTCCTTGATAAATATATATATATATTTGTAAGCGTATTTATGTCAGCATTGTTTGTAATTACAAAAAGCTATAAAGGACCTGAAAAATCCATTGACAGGAGATCAGTTAAATAAATCAATCATGGTACAATCATACAATGGAAGACAAGCAACTATGAAGAAGGAGTTAGACCTACCTACATTGACCCAAAAAGAGGCACAGGATTATTAGGTTTTAAAAAAAGTAAAAGAGGTTGGGCACAGTGGCTCACTCCCATAATCCCTGTACTTTTGGAGGCAGAGGCAGGAGTATCACTTTAGCCCAGGAAGTCGAGGCTGCAGTGAGCTATGATTGTGTCACTGCACTGTAGCCTGGGTGGCAGAGCGAAAGAAAAAGAAAGAAAGAAAGAAGAAAGAAAGAAAGAAAAAGAAAGAAAGAAAGAAAGAAAGAGAGAGAGAGAGAGAGAGA